AATGTTAATGACTTTTTGTAATATTCAGTTGCCAGTACGTATTCGTTCAGTTCGATATTTGCGTCCGCCATCTTTTCATACAGGAGGAAAATTCGCTGCTGGTCTGTATCCGTCAGTTTTTTTTCCCATGTTAAGGACTTTTGATAATGTAGAAGAGCTAGATCGTGCTCTTTTATTTTCATGTGTACATCGGCGATGTTTTCATGTAAAGATTGCATCTGATGATGGTCTGGTTCTGGCAAGTGTTCTTGCAATTTTACTGATTTTTCGTAATATGGAAGGGCCAAATCGTGTTTGTTTAGTTTTATGTGGGCATCACCTATTTTTTGGTATACATACGGAAGCTGCTGTTGTTGTGATGTCCGGAGGCTTTCGTACAATGTTGTTAATTTTTTGTAATACTGAATAGCCAGATCATACTTATTTACTTGCATATAGAGGCCAGCGATTGTGTCATATGTATGCTGAAGGTTTTGTTGCGCTGCATCCGGTAGTGTTTCTGATAATTTTAATGAGTTTTCGAAGCATTCAGCAGCTAATTCATATTGGTTTAGTTCCATATGTACATCAGCCATCTTTTCGTATACGTATGAAATCTGCTGTTGGTTTGGTTGCGGCAGATTTTCTCCCAATATTATTGATTTTCTGTAATGTTCAAGAGCCAAGTTGTGTTCGTTTAGTTTCTTGTAGACATCAGCAATTGTTTTATACGTATTATGAATCTCGTATGCGTTTGGTTCTAGTAATTTTTCTCTAAATTTCAATGATTTTTCGTAATATTCTATAGCCAAGCCATATTTATTTAGTTTCGTATTGATATCAGCCATCTTTTCATATATATACGGAATCACCCGTTGTTCTGGTTCTGATAATTTTTCTCGCAATATTAACGATTTTGTATAGTGTTCTATAGCCAAGTTACATTCGTTGAGTCTCATGTAAAGATCTCCAATTTTTTCGTACATTCGGTGGATATTCCCTTGCTCTGTTTTCGGTAGGTTTTCTTGGAATATTAATGATGTTTTGGAGTATTTAATAGCCAACGCATATTCATTTAGTCTGAGGCAGAGATCAGTGATCGTTTCATGCATATGAAAAATCTGCCATTCATCGGGTTTCGATAATTTTTCTCTGAAAAGTATTAATGATTTTTTGTAATAGTCAATAGCCAAGTCGTCTTCCTTTAGTTTCCAGTAGAGATCAGCCATCGTTTCATAAGTTTGCAAAATCTCCTGGTTATCTGGGTCTAGTAATTTCCTTGTCAATATTAGTGTTTTTTTGTAGTAATCAATTGCTTGTTCATACTCCTTTTCATCCTGGCTTTGCGAAATTAGAGGTATGAAATCATTCGATTTGATAGGGTTATCTGGTGGAAATAAATGTATCATATATTTATAATATGCGTTCGTTTCTTTGAACAAACGTTTGCTAATAACACGATTTCCTACATGTTGTATTTGTTTGAAGTTCCCCTGTAGAAGCTCTACCGTTGGACTTCCTTCCTTTTCTTCTAGTATTTTTAATTCTACTTTATACAACTGACTATCAACATCGAAGTTGAGAGAGACAACGCTGAAAAAAATTCGTGGCATCATTAGTACTTCTTTTTCGTCAGGAAACTGAGCGTGGCAGGCAATATCAGCAAATGGACGTGTTTTCTTTCTCAGATCAATGTCAATTTCGAACAGAACACTTTTAAGATCACATTGATCATCATTAGATTTAAATCCGTCGATAAAAAGTAGGGCAATAGATTGGTCGAGGCTGGTCGATATCAAGCTAGTTACTGATATATAGTTGTTATTGTCACTCATTTGGGATAAATCATTGAGTCGTTCAAGTTCATTGTCTGTAATAATTTGTCCGCGATATACTTTGAGAGGTGTTTTAACATTACTTTGAAACTTTTGATATTCACGTTCGAGTTGATTGTATAAATCACGAATAAAAAAATGAAACGGTAATATACCTTCAACATTCATTTGTCTTAAAGCTTTATTCAAAAGGCGATATATAAATGTGTCTCGTGTATACCATGAAATAGCTTTCTCTGGTGAATATTCATCAGAAAATTCTTTGATCATCGCCTCTTGACTTGCATTACCCTTATAGTAGTTCGATAGAGTGGCGATCAACGTGTTTTTACTGTCAACAGATGGTTCGTGTTGAATCAGAACATAAATCAATTCAAGAAGCCAGTCATTTTCACGTAAGTCATTAGTAGTGATATCGATACCAGAATGACTGAAGAGGTCCGGCCTTGCTCGTTCTTGTTTTAGGTAGAATTTCAATGAATCGGCCAGTGCTTTTACTAATGTTTCTTTGTCATTACACACACATTTAATCTACATTTGAAAAGAGAAGATTTAAAAACAGAGTAGATGAATAGTGCCGATTAAACAAACCTTTTTGTAATTTTTTGTCCATTGTTCACGCAGAGTTTTGTCTTGACAAAACACGAAAATTGAATTTAATTGACGAAGATTGTAAATGTTAGATGCAACTGTTTGTCCAAATTCACTAGATACAATCAAAAATATTTGTTCTTTACTGCCATTAATGTATTTCATGCATGAATCGATGTCATCATATAAGAGTAAATAATCAATTATTGCTCGTAGTTTTATTTGAGTAGGTTGATCAGGAGAATATGATTTGTCTAACCATATTAGAGTGTGTGTATCAAGATTTTTACTACGATCGAGTACTGGTGATGCATTTGTGATTGTAGTTTCATTCTCAAAACGACCGGTAGTTGATATTGTCGGTTTAGTCTTACTATGGCTCATATTGATCTAGAAATCAAGGAGATTTAATCAAATATAATATTAAATAATTACTCTCTTGGTACTGTATAATATTTATTATAATTACTAGAGTAACACATAGTGTTTCTACGTTCTTGTTTGTATATAATTAAAGTAAAAGCATTTTTATGAAAAATAACAACAAAATAAAAAGAACACTTAAAATAAATCGACTTTTTTTGTAACATGGGATCAAAAAAAGTTGATTTATTTTAAGTGTTCTTTTTATTTTGGTGTTATTTTTCATAAAAATGCTTTTACTTTAATTATATACAAACAAGGACGTAGAAACACTATGTGTTACTCATTGAACACGGTAAACAAAACCTCCAAAACTTTTAAAAGTGTTTTGGCCAATTATTAAATCGACCGACAACACTTTTTGATGCTATTTTTATTTCTAAGTTATGTTCTGATACTTCTCAAATGATAACTGTAAATGATTCTCAAAGAAAATCCAAATATGTTAAAAGCCGTTTTCCACTATATCAACATAAATCTGATTAAGACCTTCTTCTCGACTTGCTAATAACCGGATCTTGAAACCCAAACGAGAGGACAACGAGACAGCTGACGATATCGAGGCGAGATCATTTGACATAACAACTCCTAAGGAAAATTTAAGGTCAGTTCTTCTAAAACATACATCTGACATCAATCATAAGACTAATTAGGAAGAAGTTAAAATTCTATTGACACATTCAAACTCTTACCGTTTGTCAGTCTCAACCGAAGGCTAGCCTGATGCAGAGTTCTTTCGCCCAATTGCCTGAGTACACCCACTAATCACGTACTAACTTTACGAAAAGCCGCGAAGACTAATCGGAGAAACTGTATTGTACATCACAACATAGAGAATATATTATCGGACGGATGATCAGAGGCACCAAGACATAAGTGACTTACATCTTTTGGACACGGGTCTTCAGGCTGTACTCGCGAGGTGAGTTTTATTGTTTCTAATAGCTCATTTTTGACCTTTAAAACCGAAAAATGCTCAGCTAAACCATCCAGAATTCGAGTTATTTGTGTATAAAAAAGCTTTTTTTCGAACTGTTCGTCTCCGTAATCTGCATAAGTTGAACCCAAGCAAATATCACCTATGCGAAAAATCTAGATACATTTGGTCTGTAATCGGGCGATACAAAACTAGTTGCCATCTAGATTACTAGTTGGAAAAGGGACTTTTAACTAGATGCGTCTGCAGGTGCATCTAGTAATAGTTAAATCGATCGATTATCGGGCGATAAATCGATAGTTGCAACTAGAAAAAATCTAGTAATCGCCCGTTTACTCGATTTCCATTATTGTTACACAGTAGTTGCAATCGAGTAAAAATCTCGTAATCTAGATGAATCGGGCGATACTAGATTTTTTTTTGGCGCTTGGGAAATTAAGATGTATCAGTTGGGAAACGTTGCTCTTTCCAGCGCTCACTAGCTCAGACTCTGAAAATGTACGGATGTTGAGAAGGTTCACCAATAAAACATCTACATTCTTCGTCAAATTCCTTCACGAAAATTTCCCATTTGTTCTTTTCATTCAAATAAACCTACGTTAGTACCCATTTCATCCTGGTACACATCTAGTGAGATTGGTAATACAAAATATGTTGATGGGAAAGTATAATCAATGATTGTTCCGTTTAAATAATCGGTAGCCATTCATAATATATACGATGAAATATTCGCAATCGTCGTTAGCGTTCCATTTAACCTTTGTATACGACAACGACCAGCAAAGCAATCACCCCCACAAATACGACGATGCTCATGTCTGTAGGGAAGTACCGCAAAAGCACTCGTAAAACAAACAAAATGAAGACTTGAAAGAAACTCTTACCCATAGTAAATACGTCGATCTGTGGTGTTATAAAATCAGATATTTTTATTCGCTTTGGATTAACGCCGGATTGATTCGCAATCTATTAAAAAACAAAGTTATGGTCGACGAGTGTAATCTGAATCAACTTCGTATGAGTCTGTCCCTCGGTCAGCGATATAAAAGCACATTTTTTCTCCAGTTTGCGTGAAACTCTTGCGCTTTAGTTTAGAGAGGACTTGGGCTCCTAAAGCAACATAGCTTTTTGGCCTGCATTGACTGCGTTGAGAGGTGTCGTTCCTGAAGACCTGTTTTACGTACATAGATGTGTGTGTAGTACCTTTCCTTTTTATTCAGAAAAGAACATCTACACAGGCATAAATGCCCTTACCACAGACGTTTTCACCGTACCTAACGGTCTATATTTGTGAACACGGACGTCTTTGAAATATTTAAGAATCTATTTCTGGAGTATATTGATGTTTCAGTGTGCCCCAGGGTCCACCTCTGCGAACACGTGTGTTTATGGTCTAACTTACGAGGAAAGGTCACCAACTGCCACGTCGCTTTTTAGCTCTAAGCTAGTGGGTAATAGGTAAAAAAATGTGCTGAATCTGAATATGACAACCGTTTGGGCCCTTAGGCCTTCTAAGACCTGGTTTTTGAAAAACCGGTTTTCCAGGCGAAAAACTTTTTTTCGAGAAAATTTTTTCTGATCTGTCCAGATTGTAGAGCGTATCGAGAAACCTAGAAAAAACATGTTTTCTAAATTTTGGTAAGGGTTTTGAAATGTTCTTAGAGGACAAAACTTCTCTTACAGGAAAACATTACACTCATTGAGTTCTTCATCCTCTTGACTGAAAGTCGCTTTTTTTTCCCTCGATTCCGCACTCCTTCCTCTTCGCTTCATCTCCCTCTTACCCCCTTCTTTACGTTTAGACACTTCTTGAATTTTAAATGTGCTTCTGTGCTCTTAAACACTTTTTGTTTATTTTCATATCCTTTATTCGAAAAACTATGCCTTCTTCCGTTTCTTATAACAACCGAGCATGTCAAAAATCGTCAGCTGCCACCGTCCTGTTCATCCATGGAAGTGGTACGCGACGAAGAAATGATCGAAACAGAGTTTCTTGGAGCAAATAGAGCAGTGAATAAACATACTCGGTAGTCGGCCAACTGACGTGGCTCTTTCTCGCTTGTACTTGCTTCTCCTCGAGCCTCCTCCGCCGATTCATCCTCCTCTTCTTCGCTGCCACTCGAATAGTCGAAAGAGTCGTCATCCACGTCCAGTGTAGATTCTTCTGTATAGTGATATCCTGTTGCATCTTTGACAGATTTGATCGTTTCGAATAAACCGTCGGCCACTTCACACTCTTTTTGAGACGTCGAAGACGACGAACCCAAGCCCAAATTCTTACTTACTAATTCGCACAAGCGGTTGATTATATTCGAGACGTTCATGAGTGCCGCTACTTCACGCAAAGATGAAAAAAGAATAACTGACTACCACACAAAACAACAAAGAGAGAAGAAAGAAAGAAAGAGAGAGAGGTACAGAGAAATGTGACACGAGATAGCATAGCTCTGTCTGCTGGTCATGTGAGATTCCAACACGTGTAAAGAATGAATATGGTGAGAGAAAAGGAAAAAAAGGAATGTCTCCTTCTAACAGCCCGATGACTCAAGTGAAAATACGTAATGAGTTCCAAAAGTTACAGCAAGCGTTCTGCGAAACTAAAATGATAGCTTTGGTTATTCCTTTTAGTAGTTACTGGTTGTATTTGGAATCTCCGTCGCCGTTTACCTAAATATCATTTACATTCACTGAAAGGTAAGAAAAGAGAAGAAAGTAATTTTTCATTGGTCGTACCTGAGTTTTGTCCTCTAAAAACATTTCAAAACCCTTACCAAAATTTAGAAAACATGTTTTTTCTAGGTTTCTCGATACGCTCTACAAGCTGGACAGATCAGAAAATTTTTTCTCGAAAAAAAGTTTTTCGCCTGGAAAACCGGTTTTTCAAAAACCAGGTCTTAGAAGGCCTAAGGGCCCAAACGGTTGCCATATTCGGATTCAGCACATTTTTTTACCTATTACCCACTAGCTTAGAGCTAAAAAGCGAGGTGGCAGTTGGTGATCTTCCCTCGTTAGTCGTCGCTTCACTTGCAACATGAAAACTCATTGAAGATGACATCAGCAAAAATAAAATAAAGCAATCAAATGAACACAAAGCGTATGAGAAAACATCATCTGGAAATTCTAGGTTTAAGAACGTGTAAATGTGGCGCTTTTAAAGCTATTCATTTATTTTAATTTTCCCCATCGTTTTTTGATCCGCCAATGATTTTTTTAAACGAAATAGACGATCCAACTGAGCAGTATGCATTTCATGCTCAATAATGTCATAAGACATATAACTGAACGCCATCGATTAATATGCATTTACTAGCTCAAATTTGCCCACTGTAGCTTGCCGGCGTCAGCTTGTCCGCGTTAGCTTATCCGCGTATACAATTTATATTCAGTATTGTCCGCGGGTCGCGTACTTCCGCAGGCGTTAGGAAGAAGGGATTATGGGGTGCAGGGCCGCAAGAAACGCAAGAAAAACGCACGACCTAGCTTTAACATGGAACTTTTTTGTAGATACCCACCCCTTACCAAATTTCTGGCTACGGCCCTGATGGGATGAATAAAATTTTGAGATTTTCAGCATAATCCCTCTGTACAAACTTTCTCTGCTTGTTCGTCCTCTTTCTGAAGAATTCACCAGAAGAGTTACACGAAACAAATACATACCTAATACCGGTGTTATTTGAAATAAACGACAAAATTGTGTAACGTCAAATTGTTTCACTGAAATATCTTCATTAAAATAATTCTTAAAAAAATTTAAATTTTGATCCGTTAATGGATCAGTCAATAATTCACGAAATTTCAATTCAGCAATTCGTCGTTGAGACAAATCATCAGTTAAATTACCTCGTCGACTTTTAGATGATACGAGTGTTCGTAATGCATGTACTCTAATAAAAATGAAGCAAAGGATAAAGAAGATATTTTTCTATACGCGTAGCAAACGTACATTGATATTCGACTTAGATGTGATCGTGACGGTGCATATTATGATTCAAGAGAGGTTTGCGGAGAAGTTTGATTTGATTTATTGACTAAATTTGGAATAATTATTTCAACAGGAGGAGATTGCGTTGAATAAACATCTGGTTGAAGTTCATTTTCGTTTGCTGGATGAGTTTTTGATGATGAAAGATCAATGACAGATACGGATAACCTGATATAAGATACAAATGATACGAAAAATATTTATATCTTATCTTTGGTTAATGGAAGGACTTTTTAAGAACATAATTTTATATTTTCATAGCTAAATTACCGTCAACCGACATATGAGCGACCCCGGCATTAGATACGTTTCAATATGACTTTTTTCCGATCAGGAAAATGGAATGATTCTTCACTGCGATAACGATTAATAACGATAATGATAACGATTTGTTTGTCATCCGATTATGACCTGAATTATTTGGAGACCTGTAAAGGACGAGAGTGGGGTGAGGGTGAGCAGCTATAGGTGACGCACTTCGTTCAATTATTGGGGTCGCTCAAGTGTCGGTCGCTTAAAGGTCGGTTCAACCTAGATTTATGGAAACCGAAAATTGGAAGAATTCATACTTTTCTTTCCAGTTTTTACCGACAGAAGAAAGACGAAAATCATCGATATTTACTCAAGAAAGAGTAGAAAAAGAGAGAGACTAAATAAACATAGAGCACGAATAATGCCATTTTTACCATCACAAGGGAGAGTAAATGCTTAAAAAGAATAAGTAATAGAAAAACAGTGTAACTCTCTCCAGTGAACAAATCTTTTAATATCAGTAAAAAGTTTTTCTTTTTCATACAAAAAAGTTTATGGTTGTTTTTTCTTGTCTTCGTTGACAAACAACTTCCCCCGCATAAGCATAGCCCGCTCTATAAAACTACCATCCATTTCAAAAAGAAAGACCAGTCACTGTATGTCTAATAATTTTGCACTGGAAGATGCTGGAGACCTGCGGTTTTCGTTATCTGAAACTAAAAGCCTGGGGCAACAAGAAAATAAGAGAAAAAGTTTTTTCGAGTATTTTCAGGTGGTGTGCCTTGCGTGGACATTTTCTAAGAGTTTTCCGACCGAAAATACTCGAAAAAACTTTTTCTCTTATTTTCTTGTTGCCTTTTTAGCTTTAGCTTTTAGAGTATACAACTCATAACTGGAAATATTATCAAAAAGTGGGGAATATCCATACCTTCTACCGTAGCAGTTTTACCTGTGATACTTTTAACTATAGTAGTTTACAGTTAACTGCTTTTTAACTGCGACTGGTGTATACCTAATCGGAAAGATTTTCAGAAGTCATCAGAAACACTTTTTTCACAACTTCCTCGTCTCTATAACTTTGAGTAGTACTATAGATAGTCATCACTAACAGCCTTTGTGCCTTTTAGTTCATGTTTTGACCATTTGTTAATTCGTTTTCATACATTTACTGGTTATGAATGATAAAGGGCGTCAACATTACTTATTCTCTATGTTCTAATTACTGTTCTTCTACAGAAAAGATAACTTCAGGACGAAAAATACGTCTCCTCCTATTTAACGTAAAAAAAATTTGAAATAATTGAAATTGTATGTAACAATAATGAAGAATTTCGTGAACTCTTACGCAAATATCAAGGCCAGTCCCCAATTTTACAACAAAATCTTATTGAATATTTGGCAGTTATTGCTAATCAA